AATATTATTACTTTTGTAATGCGTTACTCCCAACACTGGATATATTTAACATTTTTTCTTTCTCTTCTCTGCAGGCAAACTGTGATCTTAGGAGACAAATTGATGAGCAGCAAAAGCTTCTAGAGAAGTACAAAGAACGTTTAAACATGTGCATCACGATGAGCAAAAAACTTCTGATTGAGAAGGTGAAGCATCCTTGGGATATTTCAGAAATCTGAGTTTTAGCTGTTGGTTGTAAAAAAAAAAAAAAAAAACAGTGCTTATGTGTAAAGGTCATCATTTAACCATAAGCTTTAATAGTTTCAACACCGTAAAATGAATAAGAAGCGGTTCAGATCTTTATAAAGGTGTGTGTATTTGTCCAGAGCACACAGGAGAAGCAGGCGTGTCGGGAGAAGAGCATGCAGGATCGACTGCGTTTGGGTCATTTCACCACTGTGAGACGCGGAGCCTCGTTTACAGAGCAGTGGACAGACGGCTACGCCTTCCAGAACCTCGTCAAGTAAGACGCTTAATGAAGCCCAAAGTAGACTTCTGTATTTGCACATGCAGTCCTCTATAGCCTTTCAAAGTAAACACTATTCTGCATGTGTGAACATTACGATAACTTGACTTGTAAAATACATTGGACTAAAGTCCCTCAAGAGTTATGTCTTTGTCTTTAATCAAATTTTCACCCATCAATGGTAGGTCTTTTGTAGATCTATAAGTGAGTGCATTACAGATTTGCCTGTATGAGCTGTTTTTGATCGACTGTTTTTATGCAGACAGCAGGAATGGATCATTCAACAACGGGAAGAAATCGAGAGAGAGAGGAAACTGTTAGCTAAGAGAAAACCCCCATCAGCCAGCAGCTCTCAGTCGCCCAGCACCAACTCTGAGCCCAAACCACGCAAGACAAAGGCTGTGAACGGCTCCGAGAACGACACTTTCCTCAAACCCAGCCTTCCTCAGCTGTGAGTGCTGGAAAAAATGACCCAAATGCCATAAAATGACCAGATTGTAGCATTACTATCATTACATATCACACTTGACGTGTTTCTGATCATCTTTAAAACCTTTTGATCTAAAGGCTTTTGTTTAAATGTTTGAAAAAAGTTTTGTAGACAAATTACGAGTTGTATATGAATAAATTCACATAAAATAAAATAAACAGCATGGTAGGACATGATTTATTAGTAGCAAAATGTTACTAACGTTTTGTCTGCTACAACACACAAGTCTGTAAGTGAGCATTGTGGAGAAATTGCATCCGCGCCTTCAGAATCATGTGATTGCTTCCCACTCTTTGACAGTCAGATCATCCTAGCCCAGTGCATGCATGGAGGTTTTTTAATCCTGTTCCTCTGATGCTCCCGCAGGCTAACTTTAGCGGAGTACCATGAGCAGGAGGAGATCTTCAAACTGAGACTCGGTCATCTCAAAAAGGTCAGTGCACAAGCTCAGTGGCTCCTGTGTGATTTCAGAAGACGTAAAAAACATTGAAAAAGGGAAGGTAATGCCTGTCTTCGTTTCCGCAGAAGTACTCCAAAGAACAGCATATTCTTTTGTAACATTATGAACATCTTTACTGTTACTTTTGATCAATTTAATGTGTCTTTGCTTAATAAA